ATGCCTATATGCATTCATCTATTTCTCTGTATTCTTTTGGATTTTAATGGATTTTTTAAAAGATAATTCTAGTTAGAGGCTGGGGAGAGAGCTCACTGGGTGAAGTGTTGGTTTTGTACATATAAGGACATCAGTTTGTGTCCTTAACATCCATATAAAAAGCCAGGCGTATCAACATAAGTCTTAGCCCTACACTTGGAGAGCTGAGCTAGGCAAGACTGGAGGCAGGAGGTGGAGGGTGTGGTCCTTTCTGGACAATCAGTCTAATTCAAGTTCCAGGTTCAGTGACAGATCCCGTTTCAAAAGGGTGGAGGTGGAAAGCAATAAAGGAAGACATCCTAATATCAACCTCTGGCCTCCACAGGCACCTAGGTGTATGTGAACCCCCAGCCCCCATACAAAGTAATTCTCTTGAATTTTACTTGTTTGCCGTGTTGAAAACTCACACATGCTAGACTAGTGCTCTACACTGAACTAAATCTTCACACATTTCAAATCATACATTTGGAATCTGTTAGTAGTAAGTTATGATCTTTAGAAGATAGAAGGTTGTGTTTATGTTACTGTCTTTTCCACAATTCCTGTGTTCCTATATTTTAGATTTCCACATCTTCTCAAGGCAGTTTCTAGACACAGCCACCAGAGTGTCCCTCAAAGACGCAGTGAATTCCGTATCTAAAGCCAGACCTCACTCAGTCCATTTTCCAACTTAGGCCTAAAAGTCAGCTGGGGTCATTTGGTTTTCCACTTGGCTAGGATGATCAGTGCCTACACTTGGCTGATGTTTCCAGAAATCCTTCTTTCACGGAGAAACCCACCCCACAAGGCACAGATCTCAACTGTGAAGCCAGGGGCAGCTGCTGAGATATTTTGTTTCTCACTATGCTGCTGCCCCCAGTCTCTGGTTTTTATGAGTTTGTTTGTTTGTTTGTTTGTTTGTTTTGTTTTTGTTTTTTAACTATTGCTTTCTAATGCTCCTTGGCTGTCGATCGCCACAGACACGCAGCTGTTTATCTGTAGCCTTGGTTCTTTGTGAAGGAGAGGGTGCATGCTGGGTAACATGTTGGCCTATCCCTTTATCTCTGCTTTTAAAAAGCTTCAAGATAGGGTAAGTAGCTTCAGTATGAGCTTGTGCACATTTCTAGCATCTAACTTCAGGTACAAAGGTTAGGTGGGGGCTGGAGAGATGGCTCAGTGGTTAAGAGCACTGGCAATCCTTCCAGAGGACCTGAGCTCAATTCCCAGCACCCACATTGTGGGTGGATGGTGGCTCACAACCATCTATAGTGGGATCTGACGCTCTCTTGTGGCATAAAAGTGTATATGCAGATAGAGCACTCATACATAAAATAAAAACATAAATCTTAAAAAAAAACAAAATAAACAAACAACAAAGATTGGATTGTCCCACAGTGGTGCTACAACAACTGTGTAAACCGTTATCCTTGAAGATCAATAGCTCCCTCAGTTTCTGAAGAAAATAAGGAAATGTCTGTGATTCTGATCCCTCTGATTTTGTATATAAGGAAGGGGCCGGGAGAGCTGGGATTGGTTCATTTCTTTACCTCTCATTGATCCTTTATTTTTTTTAATTTTTAAAATTTTTAATAAATAAATTACAACCCTGTTGCTCCTCCTAATCTTTTCTTTTCCCCGTTGCTCCCGCTAAAACTCATGGCCTTCATATGCTCGACATTCTTGAGGAGCCTGTAGTTCTTTGTCTAGGAGCAGGGCCCCATGAGATTTCCCTTCCATGTCATCATGTCTATTGGTGTTGTACTCATTTAGGCTGCCATGTTGTTGGGGTATCATGGGTGAAGCGGCCCTGTCATTTCTAGGGGATAGACTCCCACAGCAGATGGCTTGTGCTTTGGTTCTTACAATCTTTCTGACCCGTCTTCTTCAGTGTTCCCTGAGCCTTAGGTACAGGAGTGTTGTAGCTGTATTCATTTGGCTGGACATCCATGATGGGCTGTTTTCTGCAATTTTAGGGCTATCTTGCTGTGCTGGCTGTAGTTGTGGATCACGGGCATCATGACTAGGTAGGACTACTGGTTGCTTCCCTGCCTTGGATGCTTGCATAGCACCTTCAAGCACTGTGAAAGTTAGTGTGCGGGGAGGTTTTCAGGTCATATCCAGTTCAGATCTTCTGAATCCTGTGCCTGAAGTGCATCATGTTTTCAGCAATAGGGACTTACCTTTCACCTCTGGGAGGCAGCCAGGGACAATGGCAATATCCTATATTATTTTGAGAGTCTCTTGGACTACCCTGACCAACAACTTGAAAGGAGATTTCTCACACATTATTTTTGTTAGTCTAATGTTGTTTGCCCAAGTGGTTCAACTTCATCTAAATTATATATATATATATATATATATATATATATATATATATTAGCAACTTTACGCTGCACACACACACACACACACACACACACACACACACACACCTAGGAAAGTTGTTTTGTTGTTGCTGCTCCTACTATTGGTTGTTGTTGTTTTGTTTGTTTGTTTTTAAACTCAATAAGCTTTAGTTTATTCAGAATGCAAAGAGGGTCATATTGGACATTCAGTAACGAGTGCATTGTCCTTGCTGTAGTGAAACATTCTTGCAGAAGTACCTTGGATGAGGTATGTGTGTGTGTGTGTATGTGCGTGTTGAGATTGAGACAGGGTTTCCTGTGAGAGTCTTGCCTAACCTGGAACTTGCATTGTAGACCAAGCTGGCTCCAAATTCACAGAGATCCACCTGACTATTCCTCTTGAGTGCAAGAAACTTCTTACAGCTAAGAAACCTATAACCTGGCAAATTCTTATAGTTAAGAAAATAAATAGTAACCAAAAAAGTGGAAGGAAAATAGTAGTCCTAAGTGTAAGAACAGTAGTGGCAGCGCGCACCCACAGCCCCAGGTCTTGGGTGTGTGGGGCAGGTAAGAAAGTCACTTTTAGCAACATAATGAGCTAAAGGCCAGATCTCATGAGAGATCTTGTTTCCCAAAAGACAAAAATCAAAACAAAATGAAATAAAATGGAGCTAGCAAGATGGCTCAGTGGTGGGTAAAGTATTTGCCAAACAAGCCCAAAGAATACAAGTTTGGTCCCTGGAACCTACCATGGAAGGAGAGAACACACTACTACAAGTTGTCCTCTGATCTCTATAGACAGGATGTGTGTGGCATGCATGAGTAACACATACTGGTGATAACAAATAATAATAATAAATTGAATTAAAAACAAAATGAATCTTAAAAGAAAAGCAATCAATGCACTGTTATTCTATCTGTCTTGGACCTTGCCAGGTGTTTTGTCTCTTCTGTTAAAGCTGAAGTTTGTCTCCATACAAAGCAGCCTATGTCTTGCTTTGGCCAATGTGATGTTCAAAGACATGATTCCCAGTTGTTCCAAATGCACTTGTGTAGAGTCACTTTTGCTAGTCCTTCTGTTTCTGTGCCCTTGTCCAAGGAAGGGTACATCCTGGGTAGCTCCAGAGTCCCAGGGCACAGAGTGGGAGACATTTAGAATGTATCTCTCTCAGGTGCTGAACCTGGTTCCCTAGGGTCAGCCTAGAGCTGTAAGAACAATTGTCATCGTTTTATTTCATGGAGCTTGGGCCATGATGCAGAACTGTGGCAGCACTAGACCATCACGAGAGAAAGCAAGCACTTTTCAGGACAAACGTGTTTGTCTAGACACAAAACACCAAATGTAAACGAGTTTAACATACTGCAAAATGCAGACAGTAAGAAGATGCCCCAAATTATAGGCAGCCTGATTTGAGTTACCCAAGTGTGACTTTGGGCAAACAGACTTCTCTAATCTTTCCTTTGCTTGTCTGTGTAGCCGGCTTCTCTGTGAGAACCCTCAAAATCACAAAACCAAGTGCCTGAATCTACATTTTCCAGAAACAACAGCTGTTAAGGGGACTATCACATATTAATCTCCCTTTGGAACACACAGTGCAAGTATCCAAATAAAAGGAATAAACATGTCTGGGATCAGTTTCGGAAGGTAAGTACTTTTTCTTCACCCAAGAAATAACAATAAATAATAATAAACCTCTTACAAGCAGTAGTTCTCAACCTGGGGTTCACTGTCCTTTTGTAGGTCTCATATCAGGTATTCTGCATATCAGATATTTACGTTACAATTCATAACAGTTGCAAAATTACAGTTATGAAGTATTAGCAAAGTAATTATACGGCGGGGGGGGGGGGGGGGGGGGAGGGGGAGGGCTGTCACCACAACATGAGGAGCTGTGTTAAAGGGTAGCAGCATTGGGAAGGTTGAAAACCACTGGTCTAACACAAGATAAATGTCTACTTCCAGGATGGAGACAGCCTTCACAGGCATCAGAGTTAGTTCAGTCCCTTCCCCACTGCCCTTCCATCTTCATCTTCAGAGATGTTCTCTACTTCAGCATCTCTATCTGCCCTGTGGACACCTACTTGCAACTCCCCAACCTTAGATAGGCAAGATAATTTTGATAGCTACTTTGTAGTAGTGGTGAGTTGTTTGTTTCTCTTCAGAGTTACAATGTAAACTTTGTAGAATTATTATTATTGTTGTTGTTGTTACTTTGCTTTGTTTGTAATATATGATCTCCCCTATGTTGTCTTGAAGTAGGTAAGCCGCCTGCCTCAGATTCCCTGGTAATTTATTTTATTTTTAAACAAACCAAGTGTCTTTGAAAAGTAGATAAATGATGGATATTGCAAAAGAATGGCAAAGTGATTTGGAAATTGCTGCCTTAATGAATGCTTGCATGATCAAGCAGGAGCATTGCTTACCAGCAAAACGGGGGCGGGGGGGGGGCACGTTTGGCTGAAGCACTCAGTAGACTGGATGACAGTATTGATTGGCTCGCTCTCTCTTTCACCCACACATTGTGTTACCAGTCTATAAACATGGGGAACACTTCCAGAAAGTCAGTATAACATTCCCATTTCAACACCAGGGCACTGACAAGCAACCCCTTTAAATGGTCTGGAAAAAAAATTACAGACTTTCTGCTTTCCAATTTTATTGAAGCCAGCAGGAGCCATCTGTACACATACCAGACATGCAGGGTGACACCCATGACTCCAAATAGCCTGACAAATTAGGCCAAGTGTGTCTTTGTGTCCACAGTTATCAATTTCAAATCCCAGGGAAATGACTATAGAAGAGAATTGGTGTGTGTGTGTGTGTGTGTGTGTGTGTGTGTGTGTGTGTGCGCATGCGCGCGCATGTGCGTGCAAACAGCTATTGTTGAAGGCCAATAAGCTTTGCTGTGGGCCTTCCTCTGGCTTGTTCTCCAGTCTGGGAGCATCTGCTGCACATTTTTCATTTCTTTCCCGTTTTGAGCAATTTGGTTCATAAACTCCGTTTCCTTGTGGCTTCCTGGCGCTCTGATGACAAACCACGATACTTTGTTCCTGTCCTTTCGGGCCCTGAAGGGCACTGAAGAAAACATGAAGTTTGTTTTTAATTTTGCATCTGCCAAAACATTCCTGGGGTAACAATACAAGCTTGTAAAAATAAGATGCACCATCCCTCTCATTCCACAAAATAAACAAACCAAAAAGGAAATCAAACACAGTCCTGGAAAATGCAGCATAAATATTTTTACACCCATTCCCCCCTTTTCTGAGCTGGTGAAAACATCCTCCTGCAGTATGACTGAGGTGGCACGGAGCCTTCTCTGTTTACAATGAATAATGAGGATACACAACATCTGCAAATGAAAGGAATGCCAGGCCAGACTTTCCTTCACTGGGTTTCTTGTTTGTAAAATGAAGGTCTCTGCGGACAGTTTAAGTGAACGTGGAATCTGATTTCCTCACTGGTGTTGAGAGTTTTATGTTTAACTCATCTACTCAGAATAGATGTTCTCCGCGTCCATCCCCTCATCCACAGAGTTCACATGGACTCAAAGCAAAATCATCTTTCCATTTTCGGTTTTAGACTGTTCAGGATAACTTGGAGTCCCGAATTCCTGAATCTTGGCCAAGGTGATGTCATTAAATCTATAATGAAAACAGTGTCAGTGAGAGAATTAATTCATTATGGAGGAATTAAGTTAAATCCTCTATGATACGCCATTAGGCACCCATACTAACTTGCTCCAGTCAACCGGGGTGAAGCACGTTCAAATATAGAAATGAAAAACAAGTTCCAAACCTCAGACCTCATACACCATTAGGTAACTTTCAAAGTCATTTGACTCATAAACGTATTTTTAAATCTCAAGGTGTTTAGCATCTCATAATATCTTGAATATTACAAAGGACATCTGCCTTGGGATATAATTTACTAAATAATTCTTTGGTATTCTCACATTTTTTAAAAAAATTATTACTTAGTTCTTACAATAGTCAAAATAAACACAAGAATCACTTAACACTTAATTTTCCAGCTATGATACAACAGCATTGCTACAGCTGAACGTCACTTAGCCAAGATTTTAAGAATATTTCTAATCCCTAAGTTTATTATGTAGTCAAGGAATACATTTTTAACCAGGGCACTGCAGGGAGATAAACAAGGGGACCTGTTTCTGATCCTGCAGGGTTTTACAGGTCAGTCTGAAGCCCTGGTGTATTTTTGTGTAGAAGTCTGTTCTCTGGGAGCCAGGGGAAAAAGGAAGAGAAAGTATTAGCCTTTACAACAGGCTAGCTCTGCTTCTGTCACCAAATTTATGCTGAGTTAAGGGAAACGCCTCATCTCTCTTGCGCTAGCAGCCACATTTTTACATAGGCTAATGATTGCCTATGGAGGGGGTTGAGTTTCTTAGGAGAAAAATTACAAAGGTATTCAGGATGAAAACTTGCTTGTTAATAGAGTTAAAAAATAAAGGTTACTGCTTCAAAAATTAGGTCACTTCATTGCAAAAGAGCATGCAATCTTAGAAGAGAAGTAAGGAAAAAAATCACAGTTCTTATTCAGGGCACCTTGTGTGTGACATATGGCTGCTAAGTGACAAGGAGAAATTTCCTGTATTCAGTGAAAGGACTTGACAATTCGTCTAGTATACTTTCCATGGAAGCTGGCTGTCGAAAAAGTTGTAACCATCAAGCTCTGTGTTTAACGATGACTGGCCACACTCTTTGTCTGCTTGTCTGCAAAGATCACGGGCCACTTATTGCCACAACCTGTCACTGTCGGGGAAGATTTTTTTTAATGCCACTTTACAAAAAAGAAATTTTACTTTTACAGGTCAGCTCTCATTATAGCTCACACCCCCACCCCAAAGCTTCAAATTATAAAAGAAATTTCAAAACCTAGCCAATGACTTGCTTGCTTTATACAATATTGATTGGAAAGCCCTTAGAGTAACAAAGAAATTTTGATGGTACCTTTGTTTTCTTTATACTGGGATCTGGCCACGATCAGGAAAAACCTGTTTTAATTTTTATTCATTTAAAATGTATAGCTGCTCACTTCCCATTAGGCTTGAAGTGGCTTGCAAAAAGAAAACAAGCAAGCAAACAAAAGCATTAAGACTGCTACAGATAGGGGAAAAATTTTTAATATAAAGGAAGGAGAGGGGACAGCAGGAAAAAAAAAAAACTAAGGACAGGAGGGAGGAATATTATTCCCGTAGGAAACCACAGCTTCTATCAGTGAGCATCACATGAATTCAGATGTCGAATTTCTTGTTCAGGGAAGACTCAGGGCCCAAGACTCTGTTGGTGACCCGGGAAAGCTTACAGGGCCTGGCTTTAGGCTGCCGCTCACTTCCACTGCTTGACATGCCTGCTGTTGGAGACATGAGTATTTTTTCCGCATCACTCCAGGAGTTATGCAAAGATTAGACACTCTATAAAGCGTAGTAGCTTGTAGTATTGTGCCCTGTATTCCCAAACGCCTCATCACCTGCAGCACTCGGTTAATATCTATTTGAAATACACAGAAAGCACGCTGTTTTCCCTTTAAACAACCTCCTGCTCAGTGGCCTCCTTCAGTAGGAGGCGGGGCTTGCCCCCCCCCCAGGAGAGATGGTTATGAGGCTATAACTCAGTGGATGTTTATCAAAAATCCTAGTTTTGTTCTTAGTGGATATTTTTACAAACACAATTGAAATAGCAGCAGTAGCAGCAGCAGCAGCAGCAGCAGCAGCAGCAGCAGCACCCCCGGGGGGCCCCCCACCATTTCAACTGAAGAATATGCAAACACTCTATGGGCTTTCAAGCTTGGGAAAAAAAGAGGGGTACCTGTTTTTTCCTTTTCTGTAATTCTCACCCCTAAGTACCCATCTTTGCAAGAGTTCATGGCACTAACTTACATTTCCCTGATGTGCACAAAGGACAAGGTGCCTGCTTTCCCTTCCAATTGCTTGGCCTTCAATCAGTGTCACCATAAATGTGATATATGAATGTTAAATCCAAATATTTTATTGGTGCAGATAAATATGATTTGTAAAAAGAGTCAAATTAACAATCCATTACATACTAATGGGCTCTAATCAATAAGTTTAATTTGACTAAAAGGAGAGGGGCGGGGGAGAAAAGAGACTCAATTACACCCAAATGGTGCAATTTGAAATTATAAAGGTGAATGACTTCTACAACTTTTTGAGCTGAATTCTGGCTTGAGTTTTAGAGCCAAGGCTTGAACGATATTCAGAGTGGCCAGTTCATACGCTTTTCTTACTGCTTTTCTTAGAAAACACATTGATTTAAATACAAAAATCTAAAATGGCAAAAATACAAGTGTCCCAGTCCCATTTGCCTTGGCTTATTTTGTACCATTAAATAAAACAACGTCCCTAACCCTCACATTTCTTACAGTCTTAGCCTTCTCTACTTCCTTCCCCAGCGCCAGTGCTACCTTCTGGCCTCTGCACTTTCACAGCGTACTTAGCCACACCCAATGCCTCACGCCACATACTGTGTTTGTATAATTCCAACTTGAATTGGAATTCCAACTTGCCTTTCCAACTTGAAAATCTAATTTGTTCTTATCATCTGTGCTACGATAGTCCACCTGGTTGCTTTCTTCTTTCTTCTGTCTCCCCAGCTCCTAGTCAGGATGAATCACCCTATTGTAACTATTCTGACATCAATTGAGGGAAAGCGCTCAGGTCCCTGAAGTAGATGCCAGGCTTTTGGACAGGCCATAGCTTCCCCTGTAGGAAAGAGCTGTGTCTTTGTCCACAGGGCTCAGTCACAAATGTAAGTGTCCCTTGTGTTAGCTGATTTTGCATCTCACAGGGACGCATAGCTCAAGCTGGCAGGAGCTTTTGAGCATCTTTGGGCGCTCCTTTCCCTCTGGAAGACCTAAAGAAACAGAAGAGCTTCCTTTTTGCTGGGGCTTCTGCCTTCCCAGACATGGTGCCTGCCGTAATCCTGGTGTCAGTCTGCCCCCTAGCGTCGTGGACTAGGTCAAGCACCTGACCCCAGCCTCAGCCGCACTGACCAAGCCAGGCTGTTGCAGCTCATTCCAAGGAGCAGGAAGCAGCTCCCAGCTCCAGCCCGCTCTGGCGTGCGCTCGTGCGCTCAGAAGAGGAACAAAGCCCTGCGGACCATCTCACCCTCTCTGGGTGGCAAGGAAATCTCAATTATACACCCAAGGGATGTGGTTTATGAAAAACTAGAAAGAATGTCTCAATTGTATACGTAAATTGTTTTGTTTTACAAGCTGGGGTAAATCAGCACATTTGCAGCCCATATTTATCTGATCCACTCCATAAGTCTCTTTTTGAACGTATGCCATTGATGTGGGGTGGGTGCCTATGCAAAACACAACCGCCCCTAAATTCAATTAGGGCATTAGGAGGGAAAATGGAAATTTGGCTTTGGGTTTAGGCATGACTGCCGAGAACTTCTTGGAATTGGAATCATTCTTCTGCTGTAACTAAAGATTAAAATCGAAGGACAAAAGTCTCCAAGGATGCTGCTGGGTAGCCAGAACACAGATTTGGGTGAGGCCTTTAAAGACAAAGATGGCAAATGAGATGCCTGCCTTTTATCTGATCTCTAGCTCATTAAAAAACAAAACAAAACAAAAAAAAAACAACTGTGTATCCCCCAACACAGCATATTGAACATTTATTGAACTGGGTGTAGGGCTCTCCATGAACTCCATTCTGATTGTCTTATAGGAAAGACGAGAATACATGATTCTTCGAGCTTAAGCTATACTGGGAAAAACATTCCAAGAAAAAAAATATTTAAAAACATAGTGTTTTATCCTCAACCAACTCTTAGATGCAGAATATAGCCCCAGGGATGTGGATGATTAAAAAAAAAAGTAGGAGTGTTTAAATTATATGTATAAACTATTTTTGTTTTACAAGCTGGAGTAAATCACAGGCAGGTTGTGGTGATCAGGAAAGTTTTGAGTTGGTGCAGCAGCCTAGGCAGGAATAATCTCCCAGCTTTGACTATGGGCTGTTGAACCCTAATCTCTGATAACAGCCCTCGAGCCGCCAAGGCACTCCATATCCATGTGGCATTTACTCTTTCAGAAAGCCCCTCACTCTTGCCGGCACTTACAGCAAGATAATTAATAGTCCCCTGAGTTATAGATTCCGAGCCAAAGGTAGCAGTACATAATGGAAGTCAAGGTCACCCAAATACAGTAGCTTTTGTAACAAAGGGGATTAGTAGTGCAATTACCATCCTGTTGGGGAGATCTTGTAAGTTTTCATCATTTTAATTCTTAAATCTTCCTCTTGCCACTGAAGTTCCAATTCTCTGATTTATGATGGGGAAATAAAAGCTCTCCTGAACCGTACAAAAGGTTTCTCTTCGGATCATTCCAGATGGCTTCTAGGAGGCCAAAAGATGAGAGGAAGGAGAAAGGCAACCCTGTGGCCAGCAGGCCCTCCAGAGCCCTCCAATACCTGCCCTGCCTCTTCTTTGCTGCCCCTGGGTGGGATAGTGTATATCAAAACACAGTCATGTTCCACACTATTTATGGTTTTTTTGGCTGTTAAAAAAATACAGTTCTGTATGTAACATTACTATTCATTTTTAGTTGTTGGTATCCTTTCCCTTCTTTGGGGGCTGATTCTGCCCCAACT